TGTCATCTGCTTGGGGCCCTTCCATTTCAAGGGGATCTTAGACAAGATGCAGTGGTACCAAATAATGAGTAAATATATGCCTATGGAAAGGGCAGTACATCACTACGAGTGCATCCTTTCCCTAAACAACTTTCTCTAACATTGCTACCAAACAGTTGCTGCAGGGACATGGCAATTTGGTGGCACAAGCGTTGCATTTATGGTCCCAAAACACCACAGGCTCCTTGTGGATGAGGCTCCATATATCAAACTTAACTCATCATTTTGCTCTGAGCTGCTCAGAAGTTGCTTGGACCAAAGCTGTTGTTTGAGCGTGGTAGGGAGGTGGGGGTTTAGCAAAGAAGACAGAATTGTGTACAACACCACAAGGCAGGAGATATCTAGCGTGGCCACACAAGATGTCCTAAGCTTGAACAATCAGCCACCACTCACAGCAAGACAAGATGACAAATAAAGCTCAAAGTGATTTCCAGCCCCCCTTGGAATACGAGAACATTTCTGAATAAAGACAGAATTTCTTCCCCAGGATTTTTCAGAGCCACGCTTCGCTAAAGTAGTCAAGGAATTTGCTGCTCTGCGTGTTTTGGATGGAAAAGAAAGCTTGCAGGCCCGTAGCGAATGCTGAGGCACAAGACCAGACCTAAATCTAGCTCAGATCTGGGAAAGATAAAGCAGCACACTGGTTTTATTTCTGTCACAGTGATGTTATACAGGTTGCAATCAGGACTGTTGTACAAAGAGCTGGATCCACCACACTAGATGCGTGCTGTCGTGCCTAAGGAGAGTCCTGCCTTGCCAGGCAAAAGTTGGAAGGAGAAAGGGAGATGAAATTAGATGCTTCAGGGAGAAAAATTAAGTCGGTGGGATGAAGGCAGGTGCTTCAGTGTGTTGGATGTCATTGCTTCTCACATGGGGGCTGGCAGCTGACAAAACCTGAAGTATTTAAACGACACATCCCAAGATAGGTATGATTTAGACACACCTTCAGTTCCCCCAAACTCTTTTCCATATTAAAGATTAATGTCAAGCTAAAGCAGAGAAGAGTAGCATAAACTCTCACTAGAGGGAAGCAGCAGTAACATCATGGGAAATGACCCAGCTCAACACAGGAGGTAAACAAGAAAGAAGCAGGAGGGACAGAAACTGAAGTAGGCACTCATCTCTGGATAGATTTGTTTCAGCAGTAGGTTAAAATCAATCTTCCCGAGGCTACAAAATAGCCCTGTCCTCTGTATGTGGTTAGACTTTATCAAATCATCCAGGTAATAAATCAAACCAGGAAATTCTTCATGAGTTACATAGAAATAAACCTTTAACAGCCTCTCTATGCAATTAGGCAGCCTTCAGACCTGCAGCTGTGCACAAAATCCAGTGGCCCAAATCTTCATCTGTTGTGAGTTAAGAAAGTACCCTTAGCTTAATGAAGCTGTCTTGATTTATGCAAAAGCATGGATCTTGTTTACCAAGCATTAGCCTATGCTTAAGTGATTTCGGAACATGGTGAAAAAGTCCTTATGGTTCCCAAGATGGAAAATTTTAGACGCTTCTAATATTTGCACATCTCACTATAAAAGTGAGTATGAAATAAACTGGCAGGTCTATCTTGCTTGAAAAATTTCAGCCCTATTTGCCCAACACTTTTTTTAACCCACCATTTGAATGCTCACTTTGAGTTCTCCAAATGACTTGGGTAATTTTCATCTTTACTTCGTTTGTCTAGTACATACAGATCTTTCCATCAATACATCACCCCTAGATTTAAACATCATCATATTTGCAAATGAGGCTGTTCAGGAGAAGTCATCAGTACTGAATACATACTGCTCATTCCAAGTCTCAGACCACACTTAGCAGCATCCTCTAAGGTCCCTATTCTCAATACACACTGATTGTCTTCTCTGAATAAGCAGCTGCAGCCCAACAGCAACCATGTTGGGTTGATTCTTTTTATTTTTTTTCCCTTTTTAAATACTCAGAAGTTTGCAATTTATCTTCAACTCAGCTGTGCTATAAGCTTCAGGCTGTCCCAATCTTAAAAGACAGAGGAATGAGTCTGCTTCAAGTTTAATAGACAACATTTAATCTCTCTTGCCTTTGGGTGGGTTTTCTTTCTTACCCAAGCAGAAGCGAAACCTTTACTAAATCCTGAAGGATGACTTCCCAAAGCAGTACTTTTCACCACTTGCTGAATAGGTGGATAACTTATCATGTCAAAGCCTACAGCACCTCAGAGAAGTTTTTCCACTCTTGGTCCCAGACACAGGTCATCTACATGGTCTGACTCTGAGATAAGCAGATTAACAATGGTATTTTGTTAAATGGCATCGGATGCACAAGCAATGGGATGCTGGGCCCTTGTATGACATCCTTGTAATGAAAAGACAATGTTGGCTAAAAGCCAGGGTTTAAGGTTCTGATTTTAACAAAGCTAGCAGATAAGAAAGGGCCAGAGGCTTAGAAAGGGCTGAGCAGCTGTGCATTGCCTGGAGCCCTCCCTTGGGAACCCTCTCATGCTAATGAGTATAATTTCCAATGCAGAAAGCATAGGATCTTGTGAGTGCAATCTAGACAGAGTAGGTACAATCCCTGCTCCAGAATGGTTACAGTCCAAACAAATAAGTGAAGGGAGAGAGAAGCATTATTTCCTCTACTTCACAGATAGGGATGATGCACTCAGAAATAGACTTGTCAAAGGTCAACAGAGAAGGTTGCAGTAGAAACAAGGACCAGGTCCAGGACTCTTGTTCCTTCTGCTGCCCAAGCTCTGCCTTTCTCTGCAGACCTTAGAGGTAGAAAACCACATTGGGTGGGACCTTACAGGCCATTTAATCCTCTCTCAGTAGATAATGAAAGCTAAGTAAAACACTGTGATGGATCTTTGCCTCATCTGTTCTTAAAAACTTCCAGTAACTATGAATATTCATTACCTCTACAGACAGTCTTTCACCTGTCTTCAGAGACACACAGTTTGAGATCAGAGAGCTCCCCCTTTCCCAGCTCCACAGGTCATGTTTTCTAGGCTTGTATCATTCCCACTGCTTTCTCCTGAACTTTCTGATTAGTCCAAGACTTTTAAATTGGACACGTACAACTCCACCATGGCTTGCCAGAGTACAAAGTATAAGTACAAAGATTGCTTCATAAAACTTAGATGTAACAGTCCTCCTGCCCTGTCCATCTTTACCTGTACTTTGTTCTGTGACCCTTCTGACCTTGGTCTGTTAGTGGTCTCCAGCTGTAGCAGTTCTTCACTACAACGCTTTAATTTTTCTCTGAGGATTTTAGGAGAGAAAACCTTCAGTCTGGCACTTCTTTCTGCTCCCCTCCACTTCAGAGAGATGTCCTCTAACAAGGCTATTACTCATAGATGAGCTGATACTTTGAGTGCAGTGTTAATGACTGAAGCTGTGAATACAAATTTATTTCCATTGTGTATTTAAGAGCTTGGAACAAGCCACCAGTATGAAGAGGTCATATGTACCAGTAGGAAAAAAAAAACCTGGGTGGGGTTCATCTCTCTTCCCTCCCCTGAGTCATTTAGACTAATTTTCCAATTGATGATTGAAATAGTTGCCTCATCCTAAGATAGCCATCTAAAGTATCTCTGCTGAATCATCATCTTGAAGGGTCTTCAGTAACTGAAGCTTTACTTTATTCATTTAGACTTCCCTGGCTCCCAACACCCTTTGTTATCTGGGGAAGGACCAGGTACAGCCTGACACTCTTGACTGCGCAGGGGCTCAGCCTTAGCTCAAGTCCTCCCAGCAGCCTTAAAAACAAGTGTTACATCTACAGAGAGAGCAGCACGGGTGCCAAGAAAGCTGTGGAGAAATGGCACATGAGCATTTACAAATCGCCCCTCCATTCTACAGTTTGTAAAGTTCTCAAAATTAGGTTGATTTTTTCCCCCCACCTCGCCTTGCAAAGTTGTTGGAACAGTGATTAAGGCTACTGAGCAGCCCAGCTCTGCTTTCAGCACTCTCCTGGGGCAACCTGAGCATCACTTGTAAACTTATCTCAATTCAGGAACCACATGAAACCAGTAAAACTTTCCCTCTCAAAGTTACTGCCCAGGCTGTGGAGAAATGGCACATGAGCATTTACAAATCGCCCCTCCATTCTACAGTTTGTAAAGTTCTCAAAATTAGGTTGATTTTTTCCCCCCACCTCGCCTTGCAAAGTTGTTGGAACAGTGATTAAGGCTACTGAGCAGCCCAGCTCTGCTTTCAGCACTCTCCTGGGGCAACCTGAGCATCACTTGTAAACTTATCTCAATTCAGGAACCACATGAAACCAGTAAAACTTTCCCTCTCAAAGTTACTGCCCAGGAGCAGGAGGAGAGACTGTCCTGCAAGAACAGGCACATGGTTCATCTGCTCTCCTGTGGCTACAGGAATTAATTTCCTTTGGCTGTAAAATCCCAATCTGTGTTCTGCTCCCTTCACTTCAGGACACCTTTATTTTTTATATTCATCTCTTCATCATCAGTGACTTTAAAAGAAAAAAGGCAGTTAAAAGAGCTACAGGAAAGATCAACCTCACCTCAACAGCACACTCTGCTCAAGGCATTTCATACTCAACCCCCCACCTCCAGTTAGCTGTGCTGCCTACCCCAGTAATTTATCCCAGCATGAAGATTGCTTGGTCAGTGTGTCTGTCTCTCCTTGCTATTTTCTTCATGCTCAGTTTGCCTGGCAGGCAATTCTCCTTTTATATCACAAGAATCACTTGTTAGCCTATAAACAGGAGCTTGTTAGCTGGCTTCCACTTTCTGATCTCTGCAGGAGCTCGTAGTTTGCATGAGGGGGGGGAAGAAAAAAAAAAGGATATTTTAAACACCACTTGTCAGCAGATTAAGTGCCCTTTCTTTCTGAGCAATACGGGAATGGTAGGGAATTACGGTAATGGCAAGGATACTGCCTGCTACATCAGCAGAGCAGTAAAGTTACTGCTGCTCCTTGACAGTGTGGAGCTGAGCTCTGCAACTGGGGAGGGATCCCTCCAGGGATGCTGGAGCCAAGCCCCTCGCAAGCCTTGGGAGACAGGGAACCAGCACAACTGGGAGCCATCAAAATACTGCTGGGGAAATAAAGGGAGAAAAGCAATGGATTTTCAGGCACAGAGTCCCATCCCTGCATGAAGAGAGGAGCCTGCTGTGTTGTGCTGTGAAATCTCCTTTCCAGATGCTCAGAGGAGCTGTGCTGCCTTCTAGAGACTAAAGAGGTGAGTGGGGATTGGGGCAGGCACAAGGGTCCCGGGTATGCTCTTCCCCAAACCATCTCTCTCCACAGGTATTGTCTGGCTGGTTTTGAGCATGAATATCTGTCAGTCCTTTCTGCCACATCTCCTTGAGCGACTGGGAAGTTTTGCTTCGTGTGCTTAAAAAAAAACAATAAATCATGATCATTTCTTAACTTTCTAGCCCACTATCAACCCCTATAATGACCACAGTTGTAATGGTTAGGGATATCTGATGTTACCTGCAGTCACTTTTCATTGATGTGGAGAGTGAAAACTGTTTTTTTCTTTCTTGGGGTTATTCTTCAACTAGTTGCCTCTTGCAGGCAAGAAAATACAAAGGCTGAATTTCATTTCAGTGCACGGAAGGCAAATTCCCACAGTGCAGTACCTTTTCATCTCCCCTCCCCCCTCCTCCCTGCTTGTCAACTGGGAATTTCGGGGGTTCAGAGTTTTAAATGCTTTTGCCTGCAGGAAAATTCAGTTTTGAGATTCAGCTCCGTGACAGCTGTTGCTACTCGGTGTTTGAGTAAAGGGCCATCTGAGGAACTGGTCTGAGACACCCAATATTAGGACACTCTGAGAGCCCTACCTCATCTTAGATTTAACAGGAGTAGTCTCAGTGGTGGTTTTTCACAAGTCTGATCAGTATTTTGAGTGGGAACACTCTATCCACATGCAGGTGCTGTGGAAGGCTTTCCAGCCCTCACTTGTAGCTTTCTCCTTCATGCCCCCCGTGTCTCAGTTCCCAGGCTTATCCTCACTTTTCCATCTGATGTACCTTTTCTCCATATTTAGTCAGCTAAGGCTGAGCTTGGCTTCCAGATACTCTGAAATGTTGTGTCACTCAGTAGGGAACTTGTTCCTTACAACATCATCTGCTTGGCAGGAGTTGCTTTTTCCTATAGATTTCTAAAATGGGCAGTTTAGCTGGACTAAAGAGCAGTTCAGTGGGTAAAGGAGTCACTTCATAAAGAAACCTTAGACTGAATTCTGGACTTATAAATCTACTTCACAGTTAGCAGTCCTAAATTGTGTCCCACAGGTTTCCATCTCTCCTACAACTGGTCTCTGCAGGTGAAATGATAATTAGGATTGATTGCTGTCCCTAAAGGCAAACAACCAACTGCTGCTGAGAGTGCGGTCAGAAAAACTCAGGCAACAAAATCCACGTTGGTCTCTCAGCTGTTGCTAAAGAATAGTGGGCTGAAAAAGGTTGGTTCCACTGGCTGGAGCCAGGCTGAGGAGGGCTCCCTAAAATAGCCTCCTGCTCTATTCTTACATGGGAACCATAGCAATAAGTGAACATTGCTTTTGGAATCATATTGTTTGTATCTTTGTCTCCTTCAGGGGGGTGAGGAGCTGCAAAGAGCACAACAGCCTACATCGTTGACACAGCAAACTTCACTCTCGCCTACAGAGCAAGGCAGAAGCTGATGTAAACAAACTCTAATTCACAGTCCAGGAACTCAAGTGACACCTGCTCCACAGCACGGAGAAGCTTTGACTGACGCTTCAGACCCAGAAGATGGGTAGTGGCAAGTATCTCAAACGACATTGTTGAGCAGACACAGCAGCAGCCTCCTCCTTGTCAGGCTTTTAAGTCAGTTGTAAGGCAGAACTAACACAACATAACTAAAAGCATCAGTCATTTCCTCTTGGGAGAAACATAAATTTTGGATATTTATGTTACCTAGATATTGAATCTTACCAAAAGGCAGTAATGATTTTAACCTGCAATTCCAATATTTCTCATCGTGTAATCCCAGAGAGTAAGATAAATAGCCTCTGTTTTGTGTAGCCTCACTTCTGCACCCCAAGGAAAAATGCAAAAGGAGGTAAATTTGGCTTGAAAATAGTGACTATTAACTGTGCTATACTGGTAAAAGTTGGGGAGAAAGGTGGATTTTCTAATATGTTTCTGGATCCTTCTCATTGTTCCTGGTGCTGCACTTCTAAGACGTTCTTAAAAACTCTTTTTCCCAGCAAAGCCAGGCTAATGTTGCCTGTAAGACCCTCCGAGAATTGATCTCATCACTTTTTCTACCTGAAAAGGGAGTGAAGTACAACAGCCTCACATGAACATTACCAGCCCCTCACCATGGTTTTCCTCCCTGGAAACTCCTCCGACTGCTCCAACTGCACCCACTCTGTGGGGCCTGTGAACATTTCAAAGGCCATTTTATTAGGTGTTATTCTAGGGGGGCTGATAGTTTTTGGGGTTTTGGGTAACATTCTGGTTATCCTCTCTGTAGCCTGCCACAGGCATCTTCAGAGTGTTACCCACTACTATATAATTAACCTGGCTGTAGCTGACCTCCTCTTGACTTCCACTGTCCTGCCCTTCTCAGCCACTATGGAGATTTTGGGCTACTGGGCCTTTGGGAGAATCTTCTGCAACATCTGGGCAGCTGTCGATGTCCTTTGCTGCACTGCTTCCATTATGAGCCTCTGCATCATCTCCATAGACAGATACATCGGGGTGAGTTACCCACTGAGATACCCCAGCATAGTGACAGAGAAGAGAGGTCTCCTGGCACTCCTGTGCGTTTGGGCACTGTCTCTGGTGATATCCATTGGACCTCTTTTTGGCTGGAAGGAACCAGCACCAGAAGATGAGACCATCTGTCAAATCACCGAGGAGCCTGGCTACGTGTTATTCTCCGCTCTGGGCTCCTTCTACCTCCCCCTGACTATTATCTTGGTGATGTATTGCCGGGTGTACGTGGTGGCCAAAAGGGAAAACAAAGGTCTGACTTCTGGTCTGAAGACAGAGAGATCTCGTTCCGAAGCGGTGACCCTACGGATCCATCGTAAAAATGCCCCTGAAGCCAGCAGCTCAGCATCCAACCCCAAGAGCAAGCATCATTTCTCAGTGCGTCTCCTCAAGTTCTCCAGGGAAAAAAAAGCTGCCAAGACCCTGGGAATAGTGGTGGGATGCTTCGTTCTGTGCTGGCTCCCATTTTTCGTAGTGATGCCCCTCGGTAAGTAAAGCAAAACCCTCTACCTTTTACAGCACCGTCCCCGGAGGGAGGGTTGTGTTTGTGCCCGTGTACAATAATGCACATAGAAAATTGCCAAGGGAATAATTTTCTATTGGAAAGCTGTCAAAAATCAAAATATTCACCATTACAAAGCAGTGAACATAAAAAAAGGAGTCTCAAATGAAACAAACTATTTCTGGTTCAAAGAGAAGCACGAAATTCTGAAAATAATGGAAACTCTTTCTATACAGAAAATACTCTCTTTCAGAACTAGAGCTGTTATTTCTGACCAGCTCTGCCATAGGAACCATTTCTTTAGGGATGTGTGTGTTTATATCTAAGATTGCAGCCAGCTCTTCAGCTGATATAAATATGTAAAAGGTCAAGATATAAATGCATTCAGGGTCAAAGTAACTGTTCACAGACTTGGGGCCAGACCTCCTGGAGTGCTTAGCACCTAATATTTCCCACTATAAGGAAAAAAAATCAGTTTCCTATCAGGAAATTCACACTATGAGATACCATATGTTAATTACATTTTGAGTATTTTTTTAATTTATCGAATGACCAGTCAGAAGAGACCAGTGAGGATCCTTCAAATTAATTTTATACTTCTCTGGCTTGTATTTATTGTGGAAACCCACTGAACCCACTGGCCAAACACTGGCTACAACCATCATGCTGAATATGAATATTTATTCACCAGTTTTAATTCTAAAGGGGAGGAAAGTCAGGGATTTGTTCTGCTTTACTATCACAAATATAAAAAGTAATTAGAATTTTAATTAAACCTTGCTCAGTCACCTTTGATGTGATTTCAGGATTTAAAAGCAGAATACTAATTGCACACCTATATCTGAGTGGGATGTATATGACACATCACACCAAAGTTTGCTCTGCAGCAGCTGCACTAAATATTAGGTTTTGAAACATGGAACCTTAAATCTGTGAGTTGCTCAGTTTCAGTAGCTTTTTTTACAGAAAGGGCTTATGTTGTACAGGAAAAATACAGTAAGATTGTGTGAAAGTTTTAGCTAATAACAGAACAATGTGTGCTATTAAGGAAAATAAAAACCAGCCTTACCTAAACATGAAAAGAAAGATTTGTGGATTTTCCTTTGATTTTTTTTTTTTAATCTTATAAAAAGCTGTTCTTTTTCAATTAACCTCTATTGGATTTACTAAGATTCCCAGGTTGTTTCATGAAACATGTTGCTAATGTTGCCATGTGAAAAACCCAAAACTAGAGAATCTTTTCTGTTGGTCAGTACTGGGAAGTGCTGGAGTAAGAGATGGAGAAGTTTCACGAGGAAGAGCCCTGAAAGACCTGGCTCGTGCTGTCCAGGGTGTCAGCATGTTGGAATGCTGGTTGCCAAGATGTTTGAAACATACCCAAAAAGGGTTTGCGAGAACACATTAAACACACTTCATGTGTAAACGTGGTTGCCCATACAGAGCTGTTGTTAATTAACGTGCTTTGGATTTAAGAAAATTTCTGGATTCAAGAGTGGCTTTGCTCTTACTTTGACCCTTATAAAGCAACTTTGAGGTTAGTTTCCCTATCTTTGTGGGGTTACTGAGTTATTTTTAGACTTATAAATCCTTCAAAACCTATTTGCTACTTCTGTTTAAAGACAACAAAACCCTGTTAAGCAGACAAGATGTGCAAAGTAACATGACTTCAAAAAAACCTTAGGAAGCACATCTCCAGGCAGACTGTCCCACCAGCCTAAGGACAGACTGAGCCAGAGACTCACCTGGAGGTGATTGCATGTGGCAACCTCCACCTACACCACACAAAACACTTTCTAAACGACAGTCACCATTTCCAGACAGATGAAGGCAGGCACAGGGAGAAGTGATCCAGCCAGGATCACATAGCAGATTAGGGCAGAAATCAGACTTTTCAGACATGCAGAACACTCCGTTGCCAAAACCATTGGCAGCTGTGGAGCCCACAACACGGCTGGCTGGTCTCCACCTACACCACACAAAACACTTTCTGAAAGACAGTCACCATTTCCAGACCCATTCTGCAGAGAGGTGAAGGCAGGCACAGGGAGGAGAAGTGATCCAGCCAGGATCATGCAGCAGATTAGTGGCAGAGATCAGACTTTTCAGACATGCAGAACACTCCGTTGCCAAAACCATTGGCAGCTGTGGAGCCCACAACACGGCTGGCTGGGCAGCAACAACTTTGTTGTGCAGAAGACCAGCTCTGCAGCTTTGTGGCCACAGGACAGACCTATCAGAGGTCCCATCAGCCATCGGCTGCTGCCCATCACTTCAGTCACTTGCAGGAGTCAGAGCCTTTCAAAAGCAAGTTGTCCTCAATGAACATTGCCCATGAGACAGACATTCTTAAACTACCCCACACAAACCACTCCAGACAACCAGCAGGTGCTTACTACTCTATGCAACAGAAGTTCCCAAAGCATGAGTTTATTTTACTGTGATCTAGAGCATCTTTGACATCCACACATCCATTAACATCATTTCTACCAGCCAAGAACCACTTTAAAACAAGAAACACCAGATCTGTTAACATGTTTAACAAATAGGGGTAGAAAATTCTGAGGTGTAGGTATGGGAATGGCAAGAACAATAGAAGGGTATCAAGAAGGGATATCAGCAGATGCTGCTGAAAATAACTGGAGAAACAACTTGAGTGTCCCTGCCACAAGACAATATCTTAATTGAAATCAGCATGTAAAGTTGCCAGCTGCAATCTGTGCCAGTGACATCTCTCTTACCTTCTTAGATGGATGGAGTTTCATCCCAGGCCAAGGGTCTGTGCAAAGGCTTTCGGTCCAAGAGTCCAATACACCTTCCTCTCACTTGGCTTTGATGTTTGTGGAGCGAGCCAGGGAATAATAATCCTGTTGCATGAAATAACTGAGGTTACAATTTGTTCCTTCTCTGCATGCTGGAGTGCAAACCCACCCTTCACAAAACTTCTGTACCATAAGAGTGTAAAAACAGCTGATTTCCCCTGGAAGAAGTCAGTTTCTTTTCTGGATGCACTTTTTCTCCATCTCTAGAGGTGAAGAGTGAATACACTCCTAGTCTCAAAGCTTTTCTGTAAAAGCTTCTTCGAACTCAACATACTTTCACATGTTGTTTAACAAAACTGTACAAGTCAAAGCTCAAGTCCATCCCAGCTGGATCCCCACCCTTTGTATTCCCCTAATTAAATCTCAGTTCCACTGTAGGCACATAGTTTTTCTAGTGCACTGAGAGGTCCTTTTCTGTGATGGTTTAAGGAGGACTTAGACCATCTGAAATTTGGGGTAAGAGGTAGCAATCAGCACCTAAACAGGAGTTTAAACAGAGCCAGTCAGAGCTATGAGGCCCTTTGTCTACTATGTCCATTAGCCTCTATATAGAACACCTGCTCTGGGTGAGCTCAAATTCTGTCTCTGCTCTGCAGAAATCTGGAAGTCTGACAGTGTAAAGTGCTTTTCATTCTCCAGACCTTCCTTTGAACTGCTATTACACAAAATAAACTGTAAACCCATTGCTGAATTAACTTTATTGGTGGAATTCCGCACAGACTCTTCCTATAAATGTCATTGCCTCAGAGCAATCACGCCCAGCACTTTAGCCCTGGAATAGGTTGTAAAGCCTGATGTCCATTTATATCTACAGCTCTCTGCAAATGCTTCCCAAGGAGACTTCCAGATATCCCCACCAAACTTTTCTCATTCTACACTAAGCATCCACCTTTCTCTAAGTGTAGAAGGGATATACTCAACAAAAGGAAATGTTTATCTTCTGAAGATTTTTACCTCCCTGTTTAGGAGCTCTAAGCACTTCCACTGACTGCCATTTGTTTAGTACAGGCTGATGCTTGCTCTGAGCAGACTACGAGAGCATCCTGCTCCATCCAAGCAGTCTATTACTCAGCTCTTCAGAGAAGGTAGCTGGAAAGGAAACTTCCCCATCCACTTTAGGGCTATTGCTCTCACATATCATCTTCTACACCTGTTGCATCATTTCTTTAATCTCTTCTTTCTCCTATGCAACACTTAATCACCATTTTCCCAACTGCTAGCCACTCATCAGTGACTTGGGCTTTCTCATTTAGCATGCCCTCACGTTAACTTACATGGCAAGAGTAGCTTTAAAACCTTTTTAGTACTGACCCTCACACTTTGGTTACCCCATGCTTGGCTCCTTTCTCAAAACATGACTGCTCTAAAGCACTCCATTTGAATGGCAAGGAGGAGCACAACACAAGGATTACAGCCCATGCACTCCTTTACATGAACAAGGATATGGCTCCTTTCTCAAAACATGATTGCTCTAAAGCACTCCATTTAAATGGCAAGGAGGAGCACAAGCCAAGGATTACAGCCCATGCACTCCTTTACATGAACAAGGATACACTGCTTTACTGAAGGGAATTTAGAGCTATGCTCTAGCAGGTGATAGAGCTGCATTTTTCTTTTCTCCATTAGCCAAGGCCTTCTTATCACAAACTTTCTTTTTTCCAAGTAAGCTATGAAGTGAAACTCTACTTCTCTTCCTGAAGTTCTCTAATATCTTGTTTAACATGTTGCCAAAGTTATTTAAGATCTGGGGGCAAAACAAATGCCCTGAAGTAAGCAATATTGCTTTTCAAATTGGAGCAATCATATTCTCTCTGGCACCCCAGAAAATAGTGATGGCTTAAAGCTGAAGTAGAAACCTGAAAACAGGCTCCTAAAGGAACCTGAATATCAAGGAGCAGCAAGAGCAGGGCTGTTCCATGAGGATCTAGCAGGTGATAGAGCTGCATTTTTGCTGTACCCTCCCCAAAAGCATACACAATCATACCTGAGAAGAAGCAGCCAGAGGTGGTATCTATAACAGGTTAAGCTGACAGTCCAGCAGTCACAAAACAACAAATCAGAGCCAGAAAAGAACAAGCATGACCTTGCCTACATCTCTCAAAGAGGATGAAAGACAAGAGCCTGACCTTTTATGCAGCTCCTTGGCCAATGAGCAGAGGGTCTGGT